ACACAGTGCAGCTTTTCATATTTCTGCCACACAGTTGGTAGAACCCATTACGAACTCTAAATGCCAAATTTGAAACAATTTAATTAGAACAAGTACAAAATCAGCTTAGTTCGGACGGGCCGAACTTTTTATACCCTACACTATTTGGAAGGATCTTGAAAGAAAAACAAAAAATCCTTCGAAAAATATGGCTCATATAAAAACCTTTATATTGGGGGCTATACATAGTGCTGGATAAATAATTTTTTGTCATAGGCTGTAGTAACGATTCCGAACTTCAAATACGAAATTTGAAACTATTCCGGTGAATAATGTCGTTAATATCATCAAATTCCGAATAAATGGGCTATGGGCTATACAAAGACGTGAACCTGCAGATAATTTTCTGTCCCATTACGAACTTAAAATACGAAATTTGAGACAATTTCGGTGAATAATGTTGCTAAAATCATGGAAATGCCGAATATCGGGGCGTCCGTTATATGGGTGCGATACTAAAACGTGAACCTATATAGACAACTAGCTGAACCCCGGCGCTACACTACCCCTTTTGATTTTAAATGCATTTAAAATTTTATATACGAATATTTGTTGTTTTTTTTTTTTTTTTTAAATAAAACAAATTAAAAAAAATATATTGTAATACTTTAATGCGTAAATAAACATTCTGAATTTATGGGAATCGGTCATGTATATGTGTTTGGTGCATAACATACATGAAATCGGCCGAAATATATATGTGGGAACTACACTTAAACTTCAACTGATTTCAATGTAATTCAGCACATTTTTGGGTACCAGATTTCATTTCTCTCTCACATTTTCATTGGAGTCGGACAAACATATCGCGTTATGTGCATCAAATATGTGAAAGCGGCCGAAAATACATATGGGAGCTATATCCAAATCTGAGCCGATTTTAATATAATTTGACTAAATTATTTTCTGATCAAAATCCCGTCACACATTCCAAATTTCATTGAAATCGAAAATGCATATCGTGTTTGTTACATCAAATAAACGAAATCGGTCGAAAATATATGTGGGAGCTATATCTAAATCTGATCTGATTTCAATATAATTTGGCAAATTTATTTGTGTTTCAAATTCCGTTAGGTGTTTGGAGACTGTATCTGTAATCGATCAATAGATATGTGCATATAAAATCTAAATTGTTGGAAGTTACCTCCGATTCTGATCCTATATCTCCAGTTCCAAGCGGTTTCGAGTCCATAAATTACAAACAAACCAAAAAACAAACAAACATACGGACATTTTCCTCTTTTATAGATATAGAAGATTATCTCCCATGGGTTAAAGTATTCAGAGGAAATTTCTTGTGTGCATTTTCAGACAATTTCTTTGAAAAATGTTCCGAATGTCGGTAGGTACCTTTATATGGGGGCTATACGATACCGTGGACCTAATATTCATAGGGAATTCCTTGTGTGCATTTTCAGACTATTTCGGAATGTCGGTAGGTACCTTAATAGAGAGGCTATACGATATCATGGACCTATATATGTAGAAACTTCTCTTCCAAGGGGTAAAGAACTCACAAGGAACTCGTTGTGTAGAATTTCAGACAATTCCTTTAAAAAATTTGGCTAAAATCATCAAAATACCGAACATCGGGAGGTACAGTTATATGGAGGATATCGTGGACCTATATTGATAATTCTTTTTTAGGGGATAAAGTAGTCAGAAGGACTCCTTGTGTAGAATTTCTGACAATTCCATTGAAAAATGTGGCTGAAATCATCAAAATACCGAATATCGGGGGTACCGTTATATGGGGGCTGTGGACCGATATAGCCATTTTAACCTGCCGACAGACCAAAGACAGATCGGTGCAAAATTTTAGCTTCCCATCTTTATTCGTTTTTACTCTAGTGTGATAAAAGGCGACGGACGGACAGACCGGGCTAAATTGTCTTAGAATTTTGTAGTGATCAAAAATATATAACTTTGTTGGGTCTAAAATAATTATCTCGATGAGTTACAAACGGAATGACGAACTTAATATAACCTCCATACTATGTATGGTGCAGGGTATAAAAATCGTCAAAAATATCGATTATTGAATGGAGGCTATATGAAAACGTGGACCTATATTTACATTTGCGATCATGACATGATAACTAATAAATAAACATATAGGAGAAATGTTAGTCTTCTATCTCAAGTCTTTTGAAAGTTAGAGTTATTACAACAGACATTGATAAATCTAGTTAGAATTTTACATAGACCATATCAATGTACTGTCCTCTACCGTCTTAAAATATTGTAGGGTATTTTCTTACAATAAATGTGATTGCGTGAAGCAAAAAATTAACTTCACTTAAAATTGCAGAGTTTACCACCGCACAACTACCACCAACCACATTGCGTAATTTCGCATGCACAGGATTCTTCTTCAGTTCATTTTCTTCCTAGTTTCTTCGCACGATGGGCAGACGTTTCCCTTCGAGTTGGATATCACGGATAGCAGGAGTATTTGTCAGGCACGTGTTATTGTTACTTTTGTTTGGGGAAACCATAATTTAGTTGTCACTTATACTATTTTTAGAAAATGGCAAAGCGAGGAGGGTGGCTGGCTGACTGACTGGCCGTGGCCACAAGGACAACCATACGGAAACGTTGTGGGTAGTTGTTAAAAAGTAAAAACGCAAAATTCAGGGAGCCAGTGAAAAACTTTAGTCAAGAAAAGTGCATTAAATATTTAACAACAAATGTAGACAGTTGGAATGATGGACAGATAGAGAGAGAGAGAGGGGGAGAGTGGCATGGATGGTATCAACAAACATGAGACGCAGTGCACCCCACCCCGACACTACTTTTTCTAATGCCGTTGGAATAACCGAAATTCTCCAAAGGTAAATTAAATTAGTTCAAATGCCATTACGTGCTACGACACCTGTCTGGTGGTGAAAACTTCCCTTCAAGCTGACTGTCATTGTGGTTGATGGTTTCCCCACCATTAAACTGGAGGATATCATTTAAATTTTAAAACCGCAAAGACATCACACGAAATTAATGTCCACATTGGCCACTTTGTTTGGTCGAGAGCACCCTCGTTATACAGCTAGCTCCTTTTGGTGGACATTGTTTGTGTTTGTGTGGGGTTTTCTACGTTTGCTACTTTGATGGAAATTCAATTTGTTTTTTCCTCTTCTGGTTTCCTTTTTTATTTTTTGTGTCGTTGTAGAAATATGAGTACCGAATAATTGTAATATCAATATTACCGGTACTTGAAATTTATGTCATGGTTACTGTAGCTTACAACTGACAAATGAAGATGCTTCTGCTATTTATTATTCTGTTATTGCATGCGAAGTCTTTGGCGAATGCTGTCCCATGCATCATACACTCAGAAGAAAAGGTGAAAAAGTTGAGGACAGCTTTTTTACTACGACTCCGAAAAGGGCAAAATTTTTAATAGATTAGATGAATATACGATCCCTATCCTACTAACATGCAAGGAATCAAAGGTTATTTATGAAAAAATATATGTAGCCAATTGTTCGAAAGCCCGGATCCTATTAGAATTGAGAAAAAAACTGAGATGAAAAAACTGCAACCAATTTCAGACTACTGTCATTTCTAAGCCACTCGTCCGACAGCTGTTAAATATATAACAGTGACAGCTCATTATATTGCTTACCAACGTACCAAAGCATTTCGGTGAGAATTTTCCAGGAAAAAAGTTATTCGTGATGGAATTCAAGCGTGATAGTGTGATTTCTTTACTCCAGCATTCAAATGTGAATAAATCGTTTGTGTCTCGTACCATCGCTCGTTACCGTGATACTGGTAGCGTAGCCTGACGTCAAGGAAGTGGGCGGAAGAAAACAGCAACATCAGCAGAAATGGTTCGAAAAATAAAGAAGCGACTTGATCGAAACCCGCGTCGCAGTGGCCGGAAAATGGCTCATGAGCTGAACATATCGCAATATTCCATTCGGCAAATATTAAAAAAATAAGCTCGGGGTAAAGCCATTGAAATCTCAAAAAGTTCACGAACTTACACCACAACAGAAAGAAAATAGACTCAAAAGTGCTAAAGAGTTGCTTTGCTTGGCCGGAAGTGGTGAGCTACCGTATTTGGCTTTCTCCGATGAGAAAACATTCGTTGACCAGCAGTTTGTAAACAAACAAAATTATCGTTTTTGCTTAGCAAAGAGGTCAGCTGAAAATGTGCACCTTCGGTTGGTCACCAGAACTCAAGCGCCGGCCATGGTGATGGTGTGGGCCGCCATAACAGCCGAACAGCAGAATAAATGCCGAATATTATCGAGAAAATATTCTAGAGGTTGTATTAAAGCCTTGGGCGCGCAAATATTTTGGCCGCAGACCTTGAACATTCCAAAAGGAATCAGCAACATCGCACTCAGCATAATATAATGGGCACAATGGCCACCAAAATCTCCGGCCACCAATATGTTAAACTATTATGTCTGGAGTATTTTGAAAAGCAAGGTTGGCACTAAAAAATACCAAAGTGTCGATCACCTCAAGCAAGTGCAGAGCAACTTTCGGGCAGGGTGTGACGGTTTCATTGGCCGTTTGAAAGCCATAATTCGTGCCAAAGATGTCCAATTCGAACAAATGTAAATTTATTCTAAAATTTGATGCTATTTCCGACCTTTTTTGCTTTCATTCAATAAAATTTGAAAATTATGGGGTTTGTCTTTGTTGCAGTTTTTTTATCTCACCCTGTATATGCATCACATATGGTATCATCTGATCTAAAGGGAACATTACACTGTGTCGATTTAGGACTACTTCTGGAACTATTTTGGCTTTAAATAATTTAAACAAATTACTTGAAATATGCTAGCCCGTTCCTATAAGTTTTAACATTAACATAAGTCGTTGTCCGCTGTTAGTGAAACTTAGTAGAATTAGTTGGTGACTCAAAGAAAAAAATATAAATTTTGGTAAATTTGTACTAAGAGATTTTGACATAACTCTCATATATTTTTTCCCAAATGTTGCTATTAATTGCGCAGCTTTAAATCAATCTCTTTCAAATTTATGCTGCGTCCCACGCCAATTTTACCAAAAGTAGTTTCAGATTTGGGTAAAGCTGCATCAAACTAAAAATAACTACCAAAGATTTGGTCTGAGAATTCGATAAAAATCAGTTCAGCATGACATGTCAAAAATTATTGGTGTTTTCAACAAAATTGCTTAAAATTTTAGAAAATGTCAACTTATATATTTTTATGAAGGGCACTTACATAATCTATTTTCTTCCAAAATGGGTTATAGTTCAAGTAGTTGTGCAAGTATAGAATCAGAATTTATCCTGAATTCACTGATAATATTTTTTTGTGAAAGAATTCTATTAGAAAACCAAAGCTAGCTAAAACAATACATTTCAAATATTAATGTTGTGAGAACAGAAGTTTAAAAAAAAAAAATAAAATCTTACAAAATATTCCTCTCTCTCTCTCCCTCTCTCTTTATGTATAGAGACAAAAAAAAAACAATTGTAATATATTCTTATTTTAAAAAACACAAACACAAAATAAATTTGACATTTTTTGGGTAGCCCTATTGTAGGGTATAACATAGTCGACGCCTCCCGAAAATTAGGTATATTGCTCCACGTTCGGTATTTTGCCAAACTTTTCCACGAATTTGTTACACAGAGATCTACCTCCCGTGGTAGCACATTGAATATATAAGTACCATATAACGGTACCTCTCGATGTTGGGAATTTTGGACATTTTAGACAAATCCTTTGCCATAATATTGTCTATATCACGGTACCTCAAGATATTCAGTGTTATGACGATTTAGGTCACTTTTACTATGAATTTTTTTTAAAACTCGGCATTTGTAGCTAATAATGGATTCTACCATCGGTATCAGGATATTGTACATATTGCTCCACGGTTTTTATAAAAGGATACAGACCGACACTCGATATTTTGACAATTTTATTTAAGGAATCATTTCTAATTTGATATTTAAGACTCATCAAAAAGGCAAAAAAGGCAGGATTCAATGTTCAAACGAGCTCCATTTTGCGTAAGCTGGGTGGTACCGTTTTATATGGCAAGTTGTGAAAAACAATTATCGGGAAGTACCGCTATATGAGGGTTATTGGAATACGTGTACGAACCATGAGAAAAAATGGCTTAAATCTCAAAATACCGAATATGGGAAGGTACCGTTATATAAGGGCTAGACCGATATAGCTCATCAATCTTGCTCGAAAGAAAAATAAAACTATTACGCCACATTTCAGGGCTATAATATGGTCTGTAACTTGATTTTAACAAATAAGTTGACATCATTAAATCGACATAGAATTATATGCTGATGACGAATATACATACATTATGGGCCACCGACAAATATTTGGTATTGCAATCTGGTATATATAATCTTATCCATGGTGGAGGGTAAACGAATTTAGTTTTAAGTGTAAAAATGTAATAAAAACGAATTTGGCAAATTTTTAAAAAAAAAATAAAATCCGTTAAAATCTTAAAAATACCGAATACCGACGACGTGGACCTGTATAGGCAACTTTTGTCATAAACCATTAAAATATTCAAATGCGAAACTTGAAAAAAAAATTAGTGACTAACGTAGCTAAAATCATCAAAATACCAAATATTGGGAGGTTCCGTTATATGGGGGCTATGCGAAGACGTGATTCTGCACAGCCAATTTTCTGTCTTAGGCTGTAGAATCCATTACGAACTTCAAATACCAAATTTCAAACAATTCCAGTGAATAATGTCGCTAAATCATCAAAATACCGAATATCAGGAGGTACCGTTACATGGGGCTATATGAAGACGTGGACCTACACACACAATTGTTTTCTTAAACTATAGTATCTATTACTAACTTCCAATACCAAATTTGAAGCAATTCCGTTCAATAATGTTGCTAAAATCAATAAAATACCGAATATCGGGAGGTATTGTTATATGGGCGCTATACAAAGATGTGGACCTGCACAGACAATTTTCTGTCATAGGCTTTAATATCCATTACAAACTTTAACTAATGTCACTAAAATCACCAAAATATCGAAAATAGGGAGGTACTACTATATGGGTGCTACACCAAAATGTGGACCTACATGGCCATTTTCAATACGAAAAGTACTGCAGGCATAATACACATTTGAGTAAAATTTTATCAACCTACTTCATTTCGTTCGGAAGCTAGAGTGATTTCCAAAGACGGATGGATATCGCTAAATCGACATATATATAAGTATATATATACTTTGTGGGCTCTATAATGTATATTTCGAGGTGTTACAAGTGGAATGAGAAACTTAATATACCCTCCATACTATGATGGAGGGTATGAAATTCACAATTCCAGTTCTTGTCCTGCTCTATGTATCAAATTTAGTACCATTTAGTACTTTTCGTGCATGTTATAGTCCGTTTTTGTACATCGACCTACATATATTAAAGCTACTCACTCACAGTGATCCTAGTGCAAACATCTGTATTTCCAGTTTTCTCGAATCTTAATAAATTCAGCTCTATTCCTACACATATACGATATTTTGTACCATTTACTAATCTTCGAGCATGTTATATTACTGGTTTCTAAACACACTACACAATATACCAATCATGGTACAATGAAGAGAAGGTAGGTCAACTTTGAAAAAATTGCAAGTATAGAGGTCTACCTGTTTGGCTTGTAATGTCAGAATTAGTATCAAAACAATAAAAAATCAAACAACTTGTTGCATTTATTTTGAATAAATGATTGAAAAACGCGATAACTGAATGAAAGGTCAAAACTTCTTTTCAAAATCATGTACTATATATCTCTAAAGGATTATTTCGCTACAAAAACTCTAGATTTTGTAGATGCATACGTTGAAATAAACATTTTGAAAACACCCGAATTTGAATATTTTCTGAACAATTTTTTGTTATTGAAAATAAAACACATACATAAACAAATAAAGATGACATATTAAGCCAAGAAAATAAAAAAATTGAAATCATATGGTAGTTCTGCCCTACCTTGAATTCATTGTACCATGATACCAATATTCTGAAATCTAGTTTTTTTGTACACTTCTTGTACACATTTCCAGAAAACATGCTTCAGCCCCAAATTTTAATATTCCACCTTTTTCTATTCGCCCAAAATCAAATTGTACAAACTGTTGTACCATTCACTACCGTTTTTATACTTAATACACACTTTTAAAATAAACCCGATATTTGATACGGTTGTGAAAAACCACCTCCATGTACCAACCACACCTCACAAAAATTTACTCTAATACCAAAATTTTAATTTTCCAGTTCTAACCCCTCCTCATATACCAAATTAAGTACCATTAAGTAATCTTTAAGATTTTTAGTACATTTTTCCAAAATCACCACTACTAATATTAGTTTAAGTTTGGATGACCCCAAATCATCCAATGATGGTTTATCTGACCTCATATACGGATGTTTATATAAATTCTGCAACTTCTATTCTCACACATTTTTCCTTGAGTTCAAGTCATCGAGTCCTTTTTGAACCGACGCGTAAATATTTCATTTTCATGTTCGCATTGCAGCAGTTACTCTTACATTTGGTGTTTCCTTTATGCACTCTTCATACTGCTCTATGGAAATTTTAATTTCAGCAAGAGCAACAACAACTACAGCGACAAATATAACAGACACGAATACTTATGACAATTGCACTTTTGTGCTACCTACCCATTCGTTGTATGATGGAACATCATACAGCTGTTTGTCGTTGTCGCTGCTGTTCGCTGATGATGGCGATGATGACAATAACCGTCCATCGCAGCGTTTGACTGCAATGAAACGCAAGAAAAATGTAATAAAATACAATTTGTTCATATTTAACAAGTAGATTGGTAGCTGGGTATGTATGTAATGGCGAATTGTTCATATTGTAATAATGAAACAAAAAATAAGAACAAATAAGAATAATAATGAAAATAACATTTCTTATTACCGGAAGACATTACGAGAATGTTATTAAAATTATAGCATGGCATTTCGGTAATATGACTATGAATATGACATTTAAATGGTGGTAAAAAAGTATTTCGTTATGGAAAAATGTAATAATGTTAATGTATTTTTAATACAAGCTGTTGCAAAGTTAAATGGTGTACAAGGCTCTTCTGTGATTGTCTTTTTATATCATCCACCGTAGTATGGAGGGTATATTAAGTTTATCATTCCGTTTGTAACACCTCGAAATACACTTTTTAGACCCCGCAAAGTATATATATTCTTGGCTATAGCTCCATATATATTATTCATCCAATTTGTTATTTTTGTCCTCAGCAGCCGTAAAATGCACTCCGTAACAACAATATTTAGAGAAAAATATCAAATGCAGCTCAGGAATATCTTTGCCAAATTTTATCGAGATCGGTTCCGATTTGGATATACCTCCCATATATAACTTCGTCCGATTTTCCTTTTATTGTGCACTAAACATCTAATATTTGCCCAAATGGGATGGAATTTGGCACTTTCGACCGAATCGAGTCTAGAAGGTAGAAGGTAGGTATGGTAGCTATAGCTTCCATATATATTGTTCATCCGATTTGTTATATTTGTTAGCCACAGCCGTAATATGCACTCCGTAACAACGATATTCAGGGAAATATATCAAATACAGCTCAGAAATATCTTTGTCAAATTTAATCGTGATCGGTTCAGATTTGGATATAGCTCCCATATATATCTATATCTGATTTCAAATTAATTTTGCACCAAATGGGCAATACATGTCCGAATTTAAAAGATACAAATGCTCTTTACACTTTAGCTCTTTTGAGTCTATTTTCTTTCTGTTTCGGTGTAAGTTCTTTCACTTTTTGGAATTTCAATGGCTTTACCCCGAGCTCATTGTTCAATATTTGCCAAATGGAATATTGCGATATGTTCAGCTCACGAGCCATTTTTCTGTCACTGCGACGCGGGTTTCGACCAAGTCGCTTCTTTACTTTTCGAATCATTTTTGCTGATGTTGCTGTTTTTTCTTCCGTCCACTTCCTTGACGTCGGGCTACGCTACCAGTATCACGGTAACGAGCGATGGTACGAGACACAAAAGATGTATTCACATTTAAATGCTGGAGTGCTCTAACGATAGCCACTTGTGGTTTTCCAGCCAAATATGAAGAAATCACACTATCACGCTTCCCAATTTCATCACGAATAACTTTTTTTTTTGGAAAATTCTCACCAAAATGCTTTTGTACGCTTGTAAACAACATAATTAGCCGTCACTGGAATATTTTTAACAGCTGTCGCACGAATGGCATATAGATGACAGCAGTCTGAAGTTGATTGCAGTTTTTTCATCTCACCCTGTACAAGGCTCTTATGTGATTGTTTTTTCAAGTTTTACATAATGATACAAACAATTAAATATTTCGAGGTTTTAATATTAATTTATTTTATAATAGTAACAAATAAGCAAATGTTATAATCTTGCGGAGCCGACCATGTGGTACCCTGCAACACTACAGTATTGTTGAAGCCCCCTTAGTTCCAAATCCATTTTGGAAGATTTCTTTTGAAATAATGTCATAAAGCCCTGCCCAGATGTGACCCTTAGATTTTTGATAGGGGATGTTTGCCCAATATTTACGCATTCCCACGTGTTATTTGACAGCTACATATAATCCAATGGTCCAATGACCAAAATACTCAATTTCTTCCGTGTCTTTAACTGTCTTCTCATATAAAACTCCGTCGATTGCTTTTCAATTGTGACCTGTAGAGCGACTGCGAAATCAGAAAATTTTATTTTATTTTTTTTTTTTTTGGTCCATCTCCCAAAATAAAAGGGTTTAATTCTGACTCAAGCCATACCCCCATTTAAAATTTGGTGAGGAACGGGCGATAATTACGACCTGTAGCGTGATTACAAATTAGCATGGACAAACGGACGGATGGGCGTCAGCTATATACAGCTACGCTACGCTATACATAGCTTGATTGACTCAGCTCGGCGAAATAGGAAATTTCGGAGACCAATATTTCGAGGTGTTACATCATTTTTGACCCAATCAAACTTATATTACCCCAACACAGTGTTGTAGGCTATAATTACTTCGAAACCTTGTTAAAAATAACAACAATATTTTTAAATTTACATTTCTGATTTCATTCATAATTCATGAAAAATGCCTTGATATAATTTTCCCAATATTATTTAATTACTTAGCCTCACAGAAAAGTTTTCTTTACGAACATTTTTAATTTGTCCCGAAATATTAATTTCAAACTTTTTATAAAATTTGACAGGTGACATGGAGAAAAACAATAATTTAATTTCCTCCCCCACAATTTCACATGACACTTGGTTCTCATTCCACCGGAAAAAAAGAACAAACTTTCTTTGGAGCAAAAAAAAAAAACAACAAAGTATTTCGAAATAATTTTAAAAAGAAATAACAAAATTTACAATTTAAATATTACAAAAAGACGTCATGTGGTGTTTGAATATGATAGCTGAAATTATCTTGAGATTTGTTTTTTTTTTTTTTTTCATTCAAAAATGAAAAGCAAAAGCGGGATTGTGGTATCGTCATTGCTTAAGGGTTTCATTAGCGTGGCACAACCTACCAAAGAAATTTCAACAGATGTGTTAATCTTTTGTCCTATTTGGTAGTCGACATTTTTTGCATCGAGAAATAGTCAAGGCATACCTAAATAGTGGTGAGCATTGGCGAAAGGAACACTTCTAATTTGTGCTGTGTTTCATTTCTAGCCCAAAGGCAATTTTGAAAAATTTTAAATTTTATTCCTTGTTGCCTGTTGTTGTGGCGAAAACTGTCTAAACAACCCTTACCAATATTTGAATGATTTATATCCAATTACATTTGAAATTCGAGATTGACTAATTGTTTTTGAAATAAAGCCGTGCTGTCTGCTTTAATTGTCGAACGACGAAATTAAACCCTTATGACAATATATCAAGCTAATTGTTAACCCTTCAACCACCAAAGTCATAATCACTGATTTGTTTTCTTTGAAGAAAATTTTAACATTTTTTTTAATCAGTTTTGAGGCAGTATTGTAAAAGAAAATAAAAAACTAAGTAGCTTATTGGACTTTCTATAAAAAATAAACAAATAAATAAACAAATTGTGATTTTGGTAATTTTGGTATTATTCACTCAAAATTGGGGTTAATTTCCCCAGCTAGATATTATCCGCACCAGCTAACCTCATAAAAATTCAATGTCTATTGGTCGTTAGTTGAGAACTGTAGGGCGACTGCAATATATACAAAAGTTTTAGGATTTAGGATAAATTTGGTAAAAAAAAATATATCTAACAAATTATATTCAAATCGGCTCAGGTTTGGATATAGCTCCCATATATATTTTCGTCCTATTTTACATATTTGATATGTATGTTACATTGCGATATGTATGTCCGATTCTAATTAAATTCGGATAAAGAGAGGAAATCTGGCATCAACGGTTGAGGTTTGGGTATAGCTGCCATATATATATTTCGGCCGATTTCATATATTTTATGCACCAAACACGATATATATGACCGACTGTAGTGAAATTCAGAATGTGTGGCGGAATTTGGCTACAATAATAAATTTGATAAATAATTTGGAAATCGGTTAAGATTTGGGTATGGCTCCCATATATATATTCTCCCTGATTTCACATATTTGATGTACCAAACACAGTATTTACCTCCAATTTCAATGAAATATTGGGGTAAAAGGACATTTTGTCAAATTATATTGAAATCGGTTCTGATTTGATAGGGTTTTATTATTTTGCAATATTATTAGGCTAACAGTAAAAAAAACTACACAACAATTTAACTGAGGATACGATTATTACGGGGAAGTATATTGCTACCTCGAATTATCTAATTGCAACAGAAATGCCACTCAATTTCAAAGTATTGCAATTTCCTGCACGCTTGGTATTTGCAATGCAATTAATAAACCCGAAGGACAAACCCTTTGTGTTTGCGAATTAAATTTGGCATGTTCCTGCTTTTCTCATGGCTTTGTTATTTACCCGTTATTCAGTAGTGCTACTCGTAACAAATAAACGTTTATATTGGGAATTTATGTGCAGCAGATCATACGAACAATGATCGTTTTTTTTTTTTTTTTTTTTTTTTGATGTGCATTATGGTTTTAGATCAATTATAATTTGAAAACAAAAGTAACATAAACGTGAAATCGGATGATGATCTCTAAAAATAGCACATATATTTCTATGCTGTATCTGAAAGCAATAGCTTCTAGGCTGAAAATTCAGTTGGATATGCCGAAGTACATAATATTTAGACGAATTTTGGACGAATATTACACATATAACGTACAATTAAATGGAAATCGGTCGAATATATATAGGAGCCATATCTACATACAAAATTTTATCTCCGTTAGGTAATAAATGCGATGAATCAATACAGAATGTGATTATACGCAGATCAGCAAAAGGTACTATAGGTCTATATCGCTTGCTTTTTATGTTATAAACAAATGCACAATACCTGTCCACAGTAGGGGGTATAAGAATACCTATCTTGAAACGAAAAACGACAACATACATGACCGACAACAAAGTTTCGAAAAGTGATTCGAAACTCCGTGTTAGAAAACAATGAAAACAAGAAAACTATCAGTAAGATCGGCCAGGCCGAATTTTACCCTCCACAATTTAGAAGAAATTTTGAAGTTTTCAAAAAAAAAATTCGTTGAAAAATACTGCTAAAATCAAAAAATGCCGAATGTAGAAATAACGGTAAATTAGGGCCTATACAAAGGCATGGGCCTGCATA